TTTGTGTGTGTGTGTGTATGTGTGTGTGTTTGTGTGTGTGTGTGTGTATGTGTGTGTGTGTATGTGTGTGTGAGTGTGTATGTGTGCGCGCGTACACACACATGTACGTATGTATGTATGTATATGTTATATATGTTTGTATATGTTGCTTAATCAATTATTTCCTTTCATTCTTCACCTATTTATGTTTTTACCATTTGTTTGTATATTCATGTCTTCATTTTTAAGAGGTGCGTGCGTGGGCGGCGAACTTGCATAAGAGACGGGTTAACCTTGTGCATGTCTTGTGCATATCATTATCCTTCTTTTTTTTCTATTGATTTAATGTTTTCTTCCGTGCAAATTTTCTCTCACATAATCATCAAAAGACAGAACATTAATAGATGATAAACAGTAAGTCACATGATTAATAATTATCATGCAATATTTGTACACCAGAAGACAATTTACATATTTTTTTTGTTTTTGTTTTTTAAATGATGACCTTCAAGTGGATGTTGTATGAGTTTTAATTATTGTGGCCCCGTTCCTACTGTCTCTCTCTCTCCCTCTCTCTCTCTCTCTCTCTCTCTCTCTCTCTCTCTCTCTCTCTCTCTCTCTCTCTCTCTCTCTCTCTCTCTCTCTCTCTCTCTAACGCACGCACAAAGACACGCGCACAAGGGAATCTACATTATCATTCCCCCTTTTTTTGTTAGTAACAAACCACCAGAGTCTTGTAATTCTACAAAGTAGAACACACCATAAAGTTTTAATCTTTAAGCGCCATTCTCCTTACTTCTGAAATTTTCTTTCTTTCATTAACCTTCTTTCAACTACTTCCTTGATATCTCTTGCTCTTATTTATCACACATCTGCTTTATTCTACCCTTCTTCATTGTAAGTCTATTTTCCTCTACCCCCTCCTTTCAACCCCCCACCCCCCTAAATTGTCCACACAGGCCGCTGCACTAACCGTTCGCGCAGTTCTACCGAGGAAACCGATTAACCAGCCAACCAACCAGCCATTCCAACCATAAACCTAAAACAAAGGGACTGTATCCTCCGTTATCCAGCTCATCTTTCTTTTCTCTATCCACCCCCCCCCCCTTCTGACATATTTTCCTCTCCTCTCTCTCTCCTTCCTTCTCTTCCTCTACCTCGTCCTAAAGCAAAAGTTGACACGCAACTCAAAACGAGCCTTGAAGACAGAGCAGCGAGCGTGGGTGTAGATGGTGTGTGTGTGTGTGTGTGTGTGTGTGTGTGTGTGTGTGTGTGTGTGTGTGTGTGTGTGTGTGTGTGTGTGTGTGTGTGTGTGTGTGTGTGTGTGTAGGCATATGTAGGTATAAGTATCCAACCATAAACCTAAAACAAAGGGACTGTATCCTCCGTTCAGGCGAAGTGGCGAAAAAAGTATAACAGGCGTCGAACAGCGGGCCAAAGGGCGCATCTTTCGCTAACCGCAACGTAACCCGGACGCGGCAGCTACTTCCGTGTTGTGTTAAAGAGTTGAGAGATAAATAGATTGGGAGAGAGAGAAACGAATCGATAGGTTGGTAGATTAATGGGTAGATGAAGGGTGGCGGCAGAGGAGGGAGGCTGTAGATGGAACCGTAATACTGAATTATTGGATTAATAATGAAAATGATTAAAGTGTTCCAAATGGCAACAGGAAAACGGAGATTGATACTAATGATAATAAGGCTAAAACTATAGAGATGATGAAAAGGAAGATTATAATTATTGTTATTACAATTGTGATAATCATGATAGTAGTAATGAAAATAATAATAGAAACAGCAACAGTGACAATACCAGTGATAAAGATAATGACAATGAAATTATCAATTTTGTCATTGTCAAAATTCATCATCACCATCATCAAGGTCCGTAGCCATTGGGTCGTAGGTGCACTCTTATGTTTTTACCCATGTCTTTCCACGTATTTCTGTTAGCTGCCCTTATTGTAGCGTCAAAATTAGTACTTCATATACAATTGTTACAATGTTATTATCTTCATATGCAATTGTTACAATGTTATTATCTTCATATGCAATTGTTACAATGTTATTATCTTCATATGCAATTGTTACAATGTTATTATCATAATCAAAGTATAAGTAGTAATGATTATGATGATACTGTTAATACTATTTATGCCATTTCTGGTGTTGGTGTTGTCTTATTGTTAAAATTATGCTATTCTAAGACTAAGACTAATAATGATAGTGATGTATATAGTGTTACTTATCACTGTAATCGTGATAAGAGAATTACTTAGACTTTAAACAATAGTAAGAACAATAATATTTAAAAAGGGACAATAACAGTTATTATTATCATCATCGTTATTATTGTTATCATCATCATCATCATCATCACCACCTTCATCATTATTATTGTTATCATCATCATCATCATCATCACCATCATCGTTATTATTGTTATCATCATCATCATCATCATCACCACCTTCATCGTTATTATTGTTATCATCATCATCATCATCATCATCACCATCATCGTTATTATTGTTATCATCATCATCACCTTCATCGTTATTATTGTTATCATCATCATCACCATCATCGTTATTATTGTTATCATCATCATCATCACCATCATCGTTATTATTGTTATCATCATCATCATCACCATCATCGTTATTATTGTTATCATCATCATCACCATCATCGTTATTATTGTTATCATCATCATCATCATCATCATCATCACCACCTTCATCGTTATTATTGTTATCATCATCATCATCACCATCATCGTTATTATTGTTATCATCATCATCACCATCATCGTTATTATTGTTATCATCATCATCATCATCATCATCATCATTATCATCATCATCATTATCATCATTATCGTCCTAACTATTATTATTGTTTAGGATAGTGGAAGTACTACTACTACTGCTGCTATTACTGTTACTTTTGTATTTATTATTGTTATTGTTACAGTGATGATAATAATGATAATAGAAATAATAATTATTATCATCATCATTATGCTGCTGCTGTTATTATTATTATTATTATTATTATTATTATTATTATTATTATTATTATTATTGCTATTTTTATTATTACTATTATTATTATTATTGTTATTATTATTATTATTATTGTTACTATTTTTATTATTATTATTATTATTATTGTTATTATTATTAGTAGTACTAGTAGTATTACTATTACTATTATTATTATTATTATTATTATTATTATTATCATTATTATTATTATTATTATTATTTGCATTATTATCATTACTGTTATCATTCATCATCATCATCATCATCATCATCAGCCTTATTATTGTTATTATTGTTGTTGTTATTATTCTTATTTTTATTGTTATTCTTATTACTATTATTGATATTGTTATGTTGCTAATATTATTAATATTGTTATTATTATTATAATTATTATTATTATTAATATCATTATTAATGTTATTATTATCATTATTGTTGTTATTACTATTTTTTTATTATCGTTGTTATTCTTATCATTGTTATCATTATCATTATTATTATTATTATTATTATTATTATTATTATTATTATTATTATTATTATTATTATTATTGTTAGTGTTCTCAATCTTATTATTTTGTCACTATTATTATTATTAATATTATTATTGTTGTTGTGGTTTTGTTGTTATTATTATCGTTATTATTACTATTATTATTGTTATTTTTTATCATTATTATTGTAAAAATTACTATTATTATCGTTATTATTATTATTATTATTGTTTTTTTATTATTATTAACATCGTCATTATATTATCACTATTGATGGTGTTATTATTGTTATTGTTATTGTTATTGATATTATTATTATTATTATTGTTATGATTATGTATATTATTAATGTTGTTGTTGTTATTATTACCGTTATTATTATCACTGTTATTATCATTTTGTCTTTATTATTATTATTATTATTATTATTATTTTTTATCTTCATCATTATTATTATTTCTATTTCTGTTATTTTTATCATTATTGTTTTTATTATTAGTTCTACTGTTGTTTTTGCTATTGTTGTTGTTGTTGTTTTTCTTATTATTATTATTAATATCAGCATTATTTGGTTTTATCGTTATTATTATTATTGCGATAATCATTATTTCTTTTATTATTATTATTATTATTATTATTGTTATTATTAATATTATTGTTATTATCATGCTTTTTTACTATAATAATTTTTGTTATTGATATTATTGTTATTATTATCATTATTGTTATTGTTAATATTATTATTATCATGTTTGATTACTATCATTATTTTTGTTATTGTTGTCGTTATATTATTATTATTATTATTATTATTATTATTGTTATTATTATTATTATTATTATTATCCTCATCATCATCATCACATCATCATCATTATTATAACTTTTCTTGTTATGATTATTTGGTTATCATCATTGTTTTTGTCATTACCATTATTATTGTTGTTATTGTTATCATTATTGTTGTTGTTATTGTGATGATTATTAACATCATCATCAATCATCATTATTACTATCACAATCATTATCTTTATATCATCATCATCATCATTATTTTCTCCCTCCCACGCCCACGCGCCCACGAGTATGGCTCGAGGCAGGACGTGACTAGTCATTGATTATATAAATGATAAAGATGAAATTCATGTGCAGGGGATTCTGCTTCTCAAAAAGTAGTTGGGTGGCTTTTGTTATATTTATGTGTGTATGAGAAAGTGGGGTGGATGGGGCGAGGGAGGGAGGGAGAGAGAGAGAAAGAGAGAAAGAAGGGAAGAGAAAGAGCGAGATAAAGTGCGGATGTATTTAAGAGAGAGGGAGAGAGCGAGAGAGGGAGGGAGGGAGAGAGAGAGAAAAAAAAAAGAGAGAAAGAGAGAGAAAGAGAGAGAGAGAGAGGGAGAGAGAGAGAAATTCCTTAACTGAATACATTCAAAACCAAATAATAATCACATTTTAATACATCCGTTTTTTTCTTCCAGAGGCTGAACCTACAGCCGTCCCTCCAAAACCAAACCAAAAAAACGTCACGCACACGCACACGCACGCACACACACACACACACACAAACACCCGCACCCTATCCACCACCCACAAGAAATACACATCCAAGAATATCCTCCCCGATCCACTCGCCCATAATCCACAATGAGCCTCGAAAGGGCGGGTCCCTCTTCCCGGTATGTGGATTACACGCAGTCCAGCCACAGTGGATACCGCCCCTCGTCGGTCTCCAGCTACGAGTACCCGCCCGAGAGACCGCCCCGTCGGGAGAGGGACCGGCGGGAGCGTAGCAGATCTAGGGACTCCTCCCGGGAGCGGTACCCCGGGGGCAGAGGGGTAGGTAGGGGAGGGAGGGAGGGAGGGGGTGCGGAAAGATGTCGTGGTATAAAAGTTGAAAAGTTTTAGTTGTTTTTGTTTTGATGATTTTGTTTCATATTGATCTCTATTATATTGTTGGTGTTGTTGTCATCACGCGCATGTACACACCCCCTCGTGCATACAAAAACAAACACAAGGACTCGCAGCTTTACCAACAAGTAACCCCTCCCCCCCTCCCCCCCTCTCCCCCTCTGCAGGTGTACTACAACCCGGGCATCGAGGAGGACCGAGCCCCGAGCGACAGAGCCGAGAGCGAGTTCACCGTCAGGAACGAGGCTGTGATCAACCCGCAGCTGGATGAGGAGGAGCGGAGGGCGGCGTCGCGGGCGGCCTCGGAGATCTACGCGTCGACCAGGATGCCGCGCCCGCAGTCTGAGATCAGGTGAGGGCGGGGCGTGGGCGGCGGGCGAGGAGGGGGAGGGGAGGAGGAGGGGGAGGAGGAGATGGATGGGGAGGGGGAGGGGAGGAGGAGGAGGAGGAGGAGGTGGAGGTGGTGGAGGTGGAGATGGAGGACGAGGAGGAGGAGGAGGAGGTGGAGAAGGAGGAGGAAGAGGAGGGGGAGGGGGAGGGGGAGAGGATGGGGATGGGCGGGGAGGAGGAGTAGGTGGATGATGATGATGATGATGATGATGATGATGAGGAGGAGGAGGAGGAGGAAGAGATGGAGGTGGAGGTGGAGATGGAGGACGAGGAGGAGGAGGAGGAGGCGTAGAAGTAGGAGGAGGAGGAGGAGGCGTAGAAGTAGGAGGAGGAGGAGAAGGAGGAGGAGAAGGAGGAGGAGGAGGAGAAGGAGGAGGAGAAGGAGGAGGAGAAAGAGGAGAAGGAGAAGAAGAAAAAAGTAGGTTGAAAGGGGGGGTGGGGCTTGGGAGAGAGAGGAGAAACAGAAGAAGGGAGATGGGGGAGAGAAAAATAAACAAAAGTTAGAAAAACGAAATGGAGAGAGAGAAGGAGAATGAGAAGAAAGAGACACGGAAGGAGGGAAGAGAGAAGAGAGAAAAACAAAAACATGTAACAGAGGAGAGAGAGCAAAGGGAAAGAGGAAAGAGGGAGGGAGAGGTAGAGAGAGGGAGAAGTTGAGAAGGAGGGATAGGAAGAGACAGAGAGAGAAGGAGAGGAAGAGAGAGAGAGGGAGAGAGAGAGGGTGAGGAAGAGTAAGATGGAGAGGAAGAGGGAAAGGGAGAAGAGAGATAAGGAGAGAGGGAGAAACAGAGATAAGGAGAGGAAGAAAGATAGAGAGAGAAGAAGTGAAAAAGAGAGGGGGAGAGGGAGAGTTAGAGAAGGAAGAGAAGAGAGAGATGGAGAGTAAGAGAGAGAGGGATAGAAAAAGAGAGAGGGAGAGGAAGAGAGGGAGAAGAAGAAGAAGAAGAAGAAGAAGAAGAGAGAGAGAGAGAGAGAGAGAGAGAGAGAGAGAGAGAGAGAGAGAGAGAGAGAGAGAGAGAGAGAGAGAGAGGGAGAGGAAGAGCAACAAAGCTGCTAATGAGATGTGTGTGTCTGTCAGTAGACCATATCCCCCTGTATGTAATGATATAGGGAATAATCTGCATCTGCCGTGAACTACCAGTTGCACTGATAAACGCCTTCTGCAGAATCCACTGCCCTGCTGCCAGCAGCTTCACCCTGGCGCGGGGAGCTCATGAAGATATTGTATTGAGTGTACACACACACACACACACACACACACACACACACACACACACACACACACACACACACACACACACACACACACACACACACACACACACACACATATATATATGTATGGAATATATATAAACTATATATAAAATGTAATATATAATATTTGTTCATCCAGAAATTTCCAGCAGCAACCACAGCCTCTTTTGCCCTGCACTCACGTACTCGTCCCTTCCGCAGCCACTACACGTACCGCAGCGGCCGCAGTGGGCGCAGCGGCCGGAGCGACGTCATCAGCGTCAAGACGAAGACCACCCGAGGAGGGAAGCTGGTGATGGAGACCATGACGGCGCCGCACCCCTGCTGCCCCAACACCAAGAGCGTGTGCTGCCTGATGGTGCTGCTGAACCTGGGCCTCCTGCTCATCACCCTCGGCTTCGTGGTGGTGCTGCAGCTGCACGACCCGGCCTTCGTGTGGTGAGTAGGGTGGGGGGAGGGGTCGCGGCGGGCGGGGTGGAGGGGGGGAAGTGTCTGGGGAGCTGGGGAAGGGGCGTGTAGGGTGGGGCGTAGGGGGGGGGGATGGAGGATGGCGCTAAAGGCGGGGATGGATAGGTTATGTATGGGATAGGGAGGAGGAGGGGGTATGTATAGGGTGGATTGGGTGGGGGCATGGGGTGGGGGGGTGGGGAGAGAGTTCAACTGAGGTGGGAAGGAGAGTCTGAGGGATGGGGGGGAGGGGTAGGCGGGGTGGGGAGAGGGTGTATATAGGGTGGGGAGAGTGATACGGGGGGAGGGGAGGAAGTGAGTGTGATATGAGGAGGGCGGGGAGGGGTGGGGAGGAGGGATGGGGAGAGGGGTGTGGGGTGAAGAAGAGGAGGAGGATGTAGGGTGGAGAGGGAGGAATGTGGGGGGGAAGGGTAGGGGGTGACAAAGGGTAGAGTGGAGAAAGGAAGGATTTTGCAGTGGTGTGTGTGTGTGTGTGTGTGTGTGTGTGTGTGTGTGTGTGTGTGTGTGTGTGTGTGTGTGTGTGTGTGTGTGTTGTATGTGTGTGTGTGTATGTGTGTGTGTGTGTGTGTGTGTGTGTGTGTGCGTGTTTTTGTTTGTGTGTGTGTATGCTGGGTGTATGTGAGTGAATTTTCTATTGACATTTCAGAAAATTACTACTATTATGTTATATTTTATTGTTTTTGATGCCATAATTATAGAGCATTATCCTCATTGTGAGATCTAGATAAATCTTTATTCTTAAAGACGTATATATAGCGAAAAAAGAAGGAATACAATTAGCTTCTATAAAATGTAATAGCAAGAAATGCACCAAAAGTATTCAAGCATAAAACAAGAAAGGGGAAAAGTTATCATTATTACAACATTCCCCATTCACCTCATGCGTAGGGTTCTTATTACTGTTTATTATCAGTTATTATTATTATTGCTCTTATTATTATCGTTGTTGTTGCTGCTGCTGATATTTTTATTATCATCATTAGTATTATTATCATTTATCATTATTATTATCATTATCATTGTCATTATTGTTATTATTATGATGACGATGATGATTATTGTTATGATTATGATGACGATGATGATTATTGTTATTATTATGATGATTATTGTTGTTATTATAATAATAATAATAATAATAATATTATTATTATTATTATTATTATTATTATTATTATTATTACAATGCTCATTAATATTATTATCCAACAGGTACATCGGCCTCTGCATGTTGATATTCGGTTTCCTTGTGTTGTTCGGATCCCTGATCTACTGCGTCTTCGTTTGCCGTGAAGTAGAGAGGATGAGACCGCCCCCGGGAGAGCTTTACTGGACAAACCACTGGACCAAGCAGCTCAACATGCCTGAAATCCATTACACCAACACCCAGTATAAACCTTCTGATTATAAAGGTTCTGAATTCTCCTTCAAGACGGAGCCAAGTCGCATGACATCGAACAGT